TTGAACCAGCCCTGCATCCCAGGAATGAATCCCACTTGATCATCTTTGATCACTTTGATCTTTTTATAAGCTGTTGAATTCGATTTGCTAGTATCTTATTGAGAATTTTTGCATCCATATTCATCAACGACATTGGCCTGTAGTTCTCTTTTTTTACTGGGTCTCTGTCTGGTTTAGGAATCACAGTAACTCTGGCTTCATAGAATGAATCTGGAAGTTTTGCTTCCCTTTCTATTTTTTGGAATATTTTTTTGGAATAGCTTTAGAAGGATAGGTATTATCTCTGCTTTAAATGTCTGGTAGAATTCCCCAGGGAAGCCATTTGGTCCTGGACTCTTATTTGTTGGGAGATTTTTGACAACTGACTCAATTTCTTCGCTGGTTATTGGTCTGTTCAAGCTTTCTACTTCCTCCTGATTGAGTTTTGGACGTGTGTGGGTGTTTAGGAATTTGTCCATTTCTTCCAGGTTGTCCAGTGTGTTGGCATATAATTTTTCCTTGTATTCCCTGATAATTGCTTGTCTTTCTGAGGGATTGGTTGTAACAATTCCATTTTCATTCATGATTTTATCTATTTGGGTCCTCTGCCTTTTCTTTTTGAGAAGCCTGGCTAGAGGTTTATCAATTTTGTTTATTAAAAAAAAAAAAAAAAAAAAAAAACAACTCTCGGTTTCATTGATCTGCTCTACCTTTTTTTTAGATTCTATATTGTTTATTTCTGTGCTGATCTTTATTATTTCTCTTCTTCTGCTGGGTTTAGGCTGTCTTTGCTGTTCTGCTTCTATTTCCTTTAGGTGTGCTCTTAGAGTTTGTATTTGGGATTTTTCTTGTTTCTTGAGAAAGGCCTGGATTGCAATGTATCTTCCTCTTAGGACTGCTATTGCTGCATCCCAAAGCATTTGGATTGTTGTATTTTCATTTTCATTTGTTTCCATATTTTTTTTAAATTTCTTCTCTGATTGCCTGGTTGAGCCATTCATTCTTTAGTAGGGTGTTCTTTAACCTTCATGCTTTTGGAGGTTTTCCAGACTTTTTCCTGTGGTTGATTTCAAGCTTCATAGCATTGTGGTCTGAAAGTGTGCATGGTATGATCTCAATTCTTTTATACTTATGAAGGGCTGTTTTATGACCCAGTCAGTATGTGATCTTTCTTGGAGAATGTTCCACGTGCACTTGAGAAGAAAGTATAGTCTGTTGCTTTGGGATGCAGAGTTCTAAATATATCTGTCAAGTCCATCTGATCCAATGTCTCATTCAGGGCCCTTGTTTCTTTATTGATGCTGTGACTAAATGATCTATCCATTACTGTAAGTGGAGTATTAAAGTCCCCTGCAATTACCACATTCTTATCAATAAGTTTGCTTATATTTGTGATTAATTATTTTATATATTTGGGGGCTCCCGTATTTGGCACATAGACATTTATAATTGTTAGCTCTTCTTAATGAATAGACCTTGTAATATTTATATAATGCCCTTCTTCATCCCTTGTTAAAGCCTTTAATTTAAAGTCTAGTTTGTCTGATATAAGTATGGCTACTCCAGATTTCTTTTGACTTCCAATAGCATGATAGATAGTTCTCCACTTTCATTCTGAAGGTGTCTTCAGGTCTAAAATGAGTCTCTTGTAGACAGCAAATAGATGGGTCTTGTTTTTTATCCATTCTGATACCCTATGTGTTTTGATTGGACCATTTAGTCCATTTACATTCAGTGTTATTATAGAAAGTTATGGGTTTAGAGTCATTGTGATATCTGTAGATTTCATGCTTGTAGTGATGCCTGTGGTACATTGTGGTCCTTGCAACATTTCACTCACAGAATCCCCCCTAGGATGTCTTGTAGGGCTGGTTTAGTGGTGATGAATTCCTTCAATTGTTGTTTGTTTGGGAAGACCTTTATCTCTCCTTCTATTCTAAATTACAGACTTGCTGCATAAAGGATTCTCGGCTTCATATTTTTCCTGTTCATCACATTGAAGATTTCCTGCCATTCCTTTCTGGCCTGCCAAGTTTCAGTAGATAGGTCTGCCACTAGTCTTTTCAGTCTCCCTTTATATTTTAGAGCATGTTTATCCTTAGCTGCTTTCAGAATTTTCTCTTTATCTTTGTATTTTGCCAGTTTCCCTATGATATGACATGCAGAAGATCATTTCAGGTTATGTCTGAAGGGAGTTCTCTGTGCCTCTTGGATTTCAATGCCTTTTTCCTTCCCCAGATCTGGAGAGTTCTCAGCCATGATTTGTTCAAGTACACCTTCAGCCCCTTTCTCTCTCTCTTCCTCTTCTGGGATTCCCATTATATGGATATTGTTGCATTTGATTGCACCACTTGGTTCCCTAATTCTCCCCCTCATACTCCTGGATTTTTTTATCTCTTTTTCTCAGCTTCCTCTTTTTCCATAATTTTATCTTCTAATTCACTTATTTTCTCCTCTGCCTCTTCAATCCGAGCTGTGGTCACCTCCATTTTATTTTGCACCTCATTTATATTATTTTTTATGACACTATTTCTTAGTCCCTTGATCTCTCTAGCAAGAGATTCTCTGCTGTCCTCTATACCCTTTTTAAGCCCAGCGATTAATATTACGACTATTATTCTAAATTCTTATTCCATTATATTGCTTAAATCATTTTTGATCCATTCGTTAGCTGTCGCTACTTCCTGGAGTTTCTTTTGAGGAGAATTCTTCCATTTCATCATTGTGGATAGTCCCTGGTGTGGCACAAAACTGCAGGGCACTTCCCCTGTTCTGTCTGGAGTAACTTGTGTTGGTCGGCGGGGCCATAGTCACACCTGATGTCTGTCCCCAGCCCACTGCTGGGCCACAGTCAGACTGGTGTGTACCTTAACTTCCTCTCTCTTAGGGGCAGGACTCACTGTGGAGTGGTGTGGCCCCTGTCTGGGCCTCTTGCACACTGCCAGGCTTATGGTGTTGCTTTGATGGGATCTGGCATATTAGCTGGGGTGGATCCACAAGGTGCACAGGGGTGGGAGGGGCAGGATCAGCTCACTTTGCCTTTGGTGGTTCCCTGCGGGAGGGGCCCTGCAGCACCAGGAGAGAGGCCAACCCGTGCCCATTCGGTGAACAGGTTCCCTTTGGGTTTTTGGCTGGGGGATGGGAGAGGGAGATGGCACTGGCTCACACCTTTGTTCCCCATTGAGCTGAGCTCTGTCTTCCAGGGTTCAACACCTCTCCCTCCCGGTGTCCTCTTGCCCTCCCGCTCTCCAAGCAGAGCTGTTGACTTATAACATTCCAGATTTAAGTCCCTCTGGCTGTCAGAATTCACGCAGTCCAGACCCTCCACTTTTGCAAGCCAGACTTGGGGATTCCACCTTGCCGGGTGGGCTGCCCCTCCACCACCCCAGCTCCCTCTTGTCAGTCCATGTAGCGCACACCACCTCTCTACCCTTCCTACCCTCTTCCGTGGGTCTCTTGTCTATGCTTGGCTCCAGAGAGTCCATTCTGCTAGTCTTCTGGCAGTGTTCTGGGTTATTTACGCAGGTGTGGGTGGAATCTAAGTGATCAGCAGGACAAGGTGAGCCCAGTGTCCTCCTACGCCACCTTCTTCTAAAGTTCCCTACCATGAAGTACATTTTGGAAGTGGTTTGGGTTTTGTTTTGTTTTGTTTTGTTTTAAGTAATAGCACCAATAGAGAGAACTGTTAAATCAGTAAAAAAAAAAAAAAAAAAAAAAAAAAAAAAAAAAAAAAAAAAAAAAAAAAAAAAAAAAAAAAAAAACCTAAGGAATGTGGAAAATATTGATGAAGAGTGGAAAGATGCCAGAGTTAACAAGATATCTGGTGAGCTCAATTTTCAAGACAGTCATATCTCAAGTGGGAACAGGCCCTACAACCTTGACACAGGGCTTGAGAAATGGAAAGGGAGAGCCACAGCACTGTGAAAGCAAGAAACATATGGGAAAGGGTGGGAGAACAGGTTCTGCTGTGTGGGGAAAATGGAGGCACCATAGGGAACAGGGGGTTGTATAGACCTTTTGCACTCCTCTGGCCCTTTCAGTGCTCGTCTAATCCTCATGTCAAGTTGCACAAACTGTAGGACCCTGACCTTGTTGATTTGACCTCCCATCTCTTCTGAAGTGCTTCTCAAGCAACAGTTTAAAGATCTGGTTATCAAGTATGAGAAAGATGATAATATCTACTCCATATTTCTTCTAATGTTAAACCCTGGAGGGGCCGAGGACCCATGCACTAAGACACTAGGGGCTGGAGAGGAATCTCTCTCTCTCTCTCTCTCTCTCTCTCTCTCTCTCTCCCTCTCCCTTTCTTCCAGAAAACAAAAGGAAAGGTAGTGGATAAAGGTTTCCTTTTTGCTATCAAAGATGGCCACCCTCCATCTCACCCTCATGACCAATGTCTGGGAACAAGCTTTGAAATCTTCCCTTCCAGACTGTGATAGCAATTGCAAAGCCTATAGACAAAGGTAACAAAAAATTAGACTCACCAAGATCAAGATGAACACCAGGAACAAATGAATTGAGAAAGAACATGAAGATAACAAATCCCAACACCATCAGGCATTTGGTGAGCAGAATCCTGTCTGATATCCTGTGCTGTAAGAGAGAAAAACACAACTCATTTACTAGGTACAATCTTCTGTTTCCTGCAATGTGTCCATCATCCTACATGACTTGAATCACTACAACTTTCTCCTTAAGATGAAAAATACAACATCTTGAACTTCAAAGAAGATGATAAGGTGATGCATTATAAAGAAAACTACAGATTTGGAATTACAGCATTCAAAACCTTTATTAAAAAATAAGCACAATAAAGTTAAAGCATAGAACAATCCTTTTATAAAACACCTGACTAAATAGCTTATCAATATGATGCAGAAAGTGCTCCCAGATACACCACAAGAATTAGGTTAGATGTTGGCAAAACCACTGGGGAAACAACATGTAACTTCCAAGGACCTGGCCACACATTTCCACAGGTGCTACATGCTCACATCCTTTTAATTCAACTTTCCTCCTATTACACAAATCCCTGTTCATGGTGGCACCGAGGTTAACATATTCATGCAGTATATGACTCCTGCTGAAGGCTCCTACTATATCCTTTCATGTTCACAGGGACTCTGGAAGACACTTGGCAGTCTCATAGCCATCAAGATGACATCATTGGTAGCCTGTGGAGTCACTCAGGGGTGACGGGAGGTGCCAGAAAACTCTATAGTACCTTCATTAACCTTAAATGGTTAATGAAAGTACTATACCTCCTTTAAGTGGGCCTGAGTCACAGAGTAAGATGGGGTGAGGTCCCCAGAGGGTACTGTGCCCCAAAAGCCACAGCTGTGTGGAGTTGGAGAAAGGAGAGAGATCCAGGAAAACTGGCACAGATGAGCCCTGGGTCATCATGCCCTACCCATACAGGCCCCTATGTGAATCATGCTCTACCATGTGAACTGACAACTATGCCATGTCCCTTCCTAAGTATGGTCCTGCCAGCACATCTGTCTATGTATATCTAGAATTAGATAGATATAGACATGGATGTGTATATATGGATAGAAAGGGAGAGACAGTGACAGATATTTATGGGTATACATATGGATAGAGATAGAAGTACAGAAAGATGGTACAGGTATAGGTATAGAGATACGGAGATAGATGTGTGTATAGGTATAGATTTTCTCTCTGGATTTCTCTACTAATACAGTTAAAGCTGCTGTCATAAAAACTGCAAGCATATTCTTACATGTTACACTGGCTCTGTCTGCAGTCCCTAGCCCCCTGCTCACAAATCATGTGGGCCACCTCCTGATTATCTCTTCCTTCCCCACCCACTGCCAAAGCTTGTGGCTCAACTGGCCCCTACTCATCTTCTCCTTCCCACTTCCAAAGAAGGCCAGTTTGGCTAGATGAGTCTATGATGGTGAATTAGGAGGAAAAGGGCATGGCCCCTCACTTGTTGTAAGGGGAGGCACTATAAAGCCTCCATGCAGCCATGTTAATCACAGAACGTAGGTATCACCACGGGCAGTTCTAGGATTGGGAATGGAGGGAGCAGGAAGATCAAAGAACATTCCAGCATCACTTTGCTGGTGTAAGTGGAAATGATCCAAAATGTATTCCTATCTGTTATTTTTAGTGTCTGTCAAATTTTCTCCTTTTGCCTTTCTGGAGCTATCACAGTAAGAACTCTTTCATTTAATACAAGCTCCTTGTTTTTCCCTTCCACCTCTCTTCAATCCTCATCCACCTCGTACACAGAGAGATACACAATCTTTTCCCTAATTCACAGCCAGCACTACATGGTCTAGCAAAGCAAGCAGGATCTGCATAAACCTGGGGCCCAGAAAAGTGTCATAGCCACACCCTCCTTTCCTAACCCCAACCATCTCAGTGGTGCAGAGATTGGGAAGAGAGACCCAAAGGACACATTACCCATCAGGACCACCATACCTAAATTTCTTTATAAAGGGACAAAATGTTCCTATCATAATAAGAAAGTGGGTAATCAATCTCTCCCTAGGAAAGAAACTACCTGGATTTGAAATTTCACAAAGATATAAATGTCTCCCAGCAGGTCTGGAGCAGAGTTCTCTCAGCTAGGAGAGGGGCACTGTGTTCTCAGATAGGCTAAAAAAAAAAAAGGTCTGTTAAAGCAGGAAAATTAGCAACAGAACTCAAAAGCTACAGCCCACCAGAAGTCAGAGCCATATGAGAGAATGTACACCACACACTCCATCTTTGTCCCTAAAGCTGTTCCATCTCACACTGCATGCCTCATCTGTTTCTGCCTCAATCTCCTCATCCACACAATGGGAACCATAAGACCTGCCTTTTAGGATCAGGAAGAGCTGCAAGAACCTCAGGCACCCAGCCAACTTTCTCTGCAGCTGCATTAACCATAGAAAGGGCCACTCTATCTCAAAGGGTATTTAAAAATTTTAACTTTTCCATTTCAGGACAAAATAGGCCTATCATGCCTGGAAAATGATTTTTCCCATTTATTCCTAGAAATAACTCATGTCTTGTGTACAACTATAGGAATAAAAAGAGAAATTACTTTCAGTCTTAACTTTTGTGAAGCAAGAGGTGATTCAGAAATCCCTGAGAGAATAAACCACAGTACCTTTTTCTGGAGTTCCTGGATATTGGTCTCCCAATTTTTATCTTCCTGTGAGATTTGTCTAAAAAAGAAAAAGGCAGCCTCATTATTTTCCTGGAGCTACTGAGCAGTGAGATCAGCAAGGCAGCAGTCAGCGCATGTTTAGCACGGACCTTTGGCCTAGATACCAGGCACTAAGTGATGCCTGATTTGGCCACATACTGGGCACACCTAGTCATTGAAGGTGACCAGTGAACTTGGGTTTATGGATTGGAAAATATATTTCTGTATTTCTGAAGAAAAGTAATACAGGAAATGAATGGAATGTTAAGGAAGCAAGTGCGCAAGCATGTGTATGTGTGAGCATGAGCACAAGGAATGTCAGAAGAATACTGACCAAAATGTGAACGAGGGGGATGACAGTAAGATACTTTTGTTTTTCTCTTCTTACTTTCTATTTTCCTATACTTTTTTTCAAAATGAAGTTATTTTATATTGACAACCAAACTTATTAAAGGAAAAAACATTAAAGAAATTCCACTTGCTTTAGTGGTGATTTTTATCAATGGAAATCAATTTTAAAGAACTTATGTGTGCTTCTCTCTCCTCTGGTCATGGGAACGTCTGATCTGATTCAGTCACCCTCATTTGTTCCAACATGCCTTTCCCTTTTAACCTTTCCTAACAGTCCACAATTTCTGCTTTATTTTCTTCCCTACTAACCAGGAAAAAGAGCTATACTGTGGAGAATTTAGTTTTATGAGCACTTATATGCCACAAGTATCAAAAGAGGCTGACTACACAGCCAGAACAGACCCTAAAGGAAATCACAGCAGACGCAGGCAAATCCTGAAGACAATTTTTTAAAATAATACATACAAACAAGATCTGCAGAGCCAGCATCTTTCATTTACAAAGTTTCCCCTTTTAAGATCTATGCCTGTGGTGGAAGTTGGTCCCCAGCCTGCAATTCAGGGCCCTCCTGGAGCCTCAGGACATGAGGTCCTGCTTCCCAAGCACCACCTGGTGGAGGTTGGTCCTAGGCTAGGATGGAGCTGAGACAGCACTTTGCTGGAGAGAGTAAGATTCCACACATTCCCTGTAGCCTTCCCCTGCCCCCACTAAAATAACAGGCTTCAAGACCATACTGGATGACCCTCAAGGGTCAGCACAGTCACCACACCCAGCTCAGCCCAGGAATACAGGGCTGCTTTCAGCAAACTGCAACATGTAAGATCATTCACACTACATTCACAGGGATTTGCATTTCCTTGCCTTGACAGACCCCTCATTCTAGCCCAGCTCCCAGCTCTGTGGCAGTAATGATTCAATGTCCCTGAAGGGTAGATATGCTCCTGGTTCTTCTATCAGCTCTCCCAAATTGAAGTCAGGTTAGAACTCAGCACCTCATCAGAGTTGGAGGAAAAATTCATCCCTTCATTTTTACATATCAGCCTTGATTAAAAGCAAATGACAGGAAATGAATTGAGTAGGACTTAAGTACTTTGAGGTCCCTGAAAATCAACTACTGGGAGAGTATTTTGTTAATTTCTTTGTTATATTAATTGTTTTTGATTCTTGTTATAGAACAAGTGTTATGTGTGAAGGTGTGACAGGAAGTGCTTGAGTGTGGATTCAATCCCCAGTGTCACTCTTTCCTAGCTGTAGAACCCTGGACAAGTTGCTCAAATTCTCTGAGCCTCAGTTATCTCATCATTAAACTGGGGCTGGTACCAGAACATATTCCAGAGATCTAAGTGAGGCTAGACAAAATAATGTGCCACAAGAGACTTACACAGCTTCATTGGCATGAAGATAGTGTTACTATTTTGTAGTACCATGAAGTACTCTGAAGAAGCATCATTTTAACTTACTTGACTTGTACATTGTATGACATTTAGACACCATGGGTGGGGGGTGGTAGTAAATAGGTTATTGATACAATTCAACCATTGAGCACAACTGGTAAAATTGAGAGCCACTGCTATAAACCAAGAGTAGCCCAAGCAGGGTCCTGGCTTGGTACCTGTGAAAGGTATGCAGCCTTCGGGCCAGCAGGTGCTCCAGTGCCTGCACCTTCCCCAGGAGCAGGCCCCGAACCGCTGTTTCCTCTCGGCTGGCCGGGCTGATGCGCTGCGCAGTCAGGCGCCAGACGTGGATCTCGTGCTTCAGTTCTGCAGGAAAGAAAAGCCAAGCCTTGAGTATCCCACCACCTCAGACATCAGCAGGCACCTACTCCTCACAACCTTCCAAGACTACGAAACATATACCTGATGATACACAAATAACCAAGAACCAAACCAAAGCAGTGACTTAGCATTCGTGTTATAGAACCAGGAGACAAAGCCCACATTAAAAAATTGCCATGGATGCAAAGTAATGTGATTTTGGTGAGAAATAAATTCTTGAATATACATATCAATGCTATCACCCAACATACTTTTCCCCTCCCAGGGAATTATTTCTTACAGCCAGGAGTTTGGATCTCTCAGCCAAAATCCAGACACTGCCTAATCATTGAAGTAGATCTAGTGAACATGGAAGATACAAGTGTAGTTCTCAGCAGGAAGGCATCTGATAAGAGCAGGAGGTAGTGAATGCCCTGCCTCCTGACCAGGCCTCCAAGCTGAGCTTGCATCTGTGAAAGAACACAGGTGAGAGAAACTTAGACAAACTTATGTAATGCTCAAATTAATAGAATGAGGCAAATTTTACTCATCATTTCAGACATCTTCTTGTATAGAAAAGAGAAATGAATTGTCAATTCATTGGCTCCTAAAATATCAAAATCTTTTATGAAAATTTATACTTAACCTCTATTTTACAGTTAAAGGTGCTACAGAAATTTCTCCAAATATTCACCAAAAAATATAAGGAATAACAGTATTTTCATCAATCACCTCTTATGTGCAATGTACTATACCTTATATCACAAGAATTCAAGATGAAAAAGACAGAACCCTTTGAAGCAGGACTAGAGCACTTGACAACTAGCTCAGAGCAGAGGCAAGGCAGGCCCATTATCTAAATACTGAGAAGTAGCACGTACTTGTGGTTTAGTGACTAGGAAAACACCACTGTTTAAGCCCCCTCTATTCAGTACACAAGAGTTGATTACCTACTATGTGGCAGAGCTATTGCAAATTGCATCAAGATTCAGAAAAGAGAAGTGGGAGAGAATAGGGGCACTGAAACTATTTCAGTTAACACACGCTTTTCTCTAAAGACCTAGCCTTAGGGGCGCCTGGGTGGCGCAGTCGGTTAAGCGTCCGGCTTCAGCCAGGTCACGATCTCGCGGTCCGTGAGTTCGAGCCCCGCGTCGGGCTCTGGCTGATGGCTCAGAGCCTGGAGCCTGTTTCCGATTCTGTGTCTCCCTCTCTCTCTGCCCCTCCCCCGTTCATGCTCTGTCTCTCTCTGTCCCAAAAATAAATAAACGTTGAAAAAAAAATTAAAAAAAAATAAAAAATAAAAAAAATAAAGACCTAGCCTTACAAAGATGACAACTCTTTGGAACTAAGCTGTGTAATGTGTTTTCATTCAGTTCATATTGACACTTTGTAGTTTGCCAAAATAAAAAATAAATAAACTTGGGTATAATTCAAAATCTTCTTCAGAGAAACATATCTGTAATTTCCTTTCAGAGAGCCTCACATCTCATTAAACAACCTATGAGGTTATGATAACATTAAAAGGAGGAACAGGAGGAGGAGGAGAAAATCGAATAAACTAGACTTCTGAACGACTGAGCACAAAAATATCACACAGGGACAGGAAAGGAGAGATGAGGTCATGCAGAGGCTTCAGTGAAGGTGTTTCATCCAATGGTGTGAACCACATTACACAGAAGATATCATTCAAAGCCCATCCATAAAGTACAGAGACTTTCCAGCCTGTCTTTCAAGGCATAGGTGATGGTCACTTTCCCAAGTGGATCAACTTTAAAGAGCTAAACAAGAGCATGGCTAGTCTCTGAGGCTAGTCCATGCAATGAAGGCTGGGAGGTCTCTCCCCATCGATGTGTGGAGAAGCAGAGCCTGGGAGTCACTGCTGCATCCGTGGAACTGGCCTTCCAGGTCCCCAGGGCTCCTTTTTGCAGGTGTCCTTTCCAGACGCAGCCTCAGCCCCTTTGTGTACACCTAGAGCCTAGCTGCCTTCTAATGTATCAAATCAAACAGGAGGAGCTATTCTCCCCAGATAATCCCCATGCATGAATCCTTAGGTAGTGTACTTTTGTTTTCATCATTTTGGAATGAAATACATCATCACTTATCAGGGAATTTAGTGAGAGATTTTGCCCAGGGAAAGGAAGCTCACTGCCTGTACCCAGAACCCAAGTGCATTTGCTCCTCAGTTCTCAGGCTTCCTCCACACCTCTTCTGCCATCTCCACACCCTCTCTTCTCTGCTAAGCTCTAACACTATGGTTTCAATGGGCTACTTGAAATTGCCCTCTGCATCTTGTGCTGTCAGGTTCACAGGTAAACATTCCATCTTCCCTCCACAAAACTCTCTCTCCTCTCACTTTCTTAGTTTTTATATGACATCATTCATCTTCCAGGTGAGACTGAAATGTCATTTTGGTCTTATCAATGTCATTCTTCACTATTTCTACACTGACATTATTGAGCATGTCAGATACCATGCTAGATGCTAAAGGATAAAAATTAATAAGTTACAGGATTGGTCTCCAACAAGTTAGAAAGAGATATAAGATATGTCATAAGTAAACATGAACTAGGGCAGTACTGGGCCACAAAAACAGTTAAGGATATACTGGTATAGTTCTTACAGGGTCCACTCGTTCCTGTCTCAGGTCATCAGTTTGTCCAGACCTCATCTCCTCACACTTACTGACTCTGATTCCTCCTCAGTAACCTCTAACTGGAGTCACTTCCTACCAATCCACCCACGGTTAGTCATAAAACACTGCTTATTCTATCTATTTTATAGATAGGTATATATAGACAGATACAGTTATATAGATAGATATATAGAAAGAAGACACTTTATCTATCTTTATATTTACCTATCTTCTAGGAAGATAAATCTATCTAGGCTGATCTATCTAGAAAGATAGGGCAGCAGATATGCAGACAGACAGATAGATTCCTTCTTTCAAATTGGTTTACCATGGCTTGCAGAATAAAGCCAAAGGTCTACAGGAAAGACTCTAGATCCTCAAATGGCAAGTGCTTTTGTGAGCTCTGACCCGCTATATAAGCTCTTACCTTTTCCACGCTGGCCCCTGACCAGGAGATATCATCAGATGTCTAATCTCCACCTCTCTGATTACCTCCTGTCCCTATCTTCCTGAGCTTTTCAACCAACCTCTTATAGCATTACTTGGGGTTACCATATACATGGTACAAAAAGGTGAAGACATTATCATGTGGGATGTGCTCTCTCACAGGATCTGGGGACTGCCAGAATGCCTAGAGGAGGGTCATCCAGCTCCAAGTGATGAGTTTCAGGAGAAGATGCCAAGGCCAGGAGTTGAGAAATGGAATTATACTACTGTAATTTTCTTATAGTTTCTTATAGTTTATGCTAAGCAGTATCACTTGAAGTTAGTAGTATAACTATCACTAAATTCACAAAACACAACTATAGCCAAAAAATGTAACAGCAAAAAGAAAAGATAAAATGAAATATTTTAAAATATTCAATCAATTCAAAATAAAGCCTAAAATGAAGGGGAAAGGATAAAGAAGAGAAGGCACAAATAAAAAATAACATGATGATACACTTTAATCATATTATTAATCATGTTAAATATAATCTAAACGTACCAATTAAAAGAGAGATTATCAGGAATTGGATAAAAAAATCAAGACCCTGGCACAAAAACAGACACATAGACCAATGGAATAGAATAGAAACCCCGGAACTAGACCCACAAACGTACGGCCAACTCATCTTTGACAAAGCAGGAAAGAACATCCAATGGAAAAAAGACAGTCTCTTCAACAAATGGTGCTGGGAGAACTGGACAGCAACATGCAGAAGGTTGAAACTAGACCACTTTCTCACACCATTCACAAAAATAAACTCAAAATGGATAAAGGACCTGAATGTGAGACAGGAAACCATCAAAACCTTAGAGGAGAAAGCAGGAAAAGACCTCTCT